GAGACTCCATTATGTCGAGAAGTCACAAACAAAGTGTAATCAACCTCTCGACCTGTCATGCGGAATATTACGCAATGAGCGAAACTTGTCAGGAAATGATTTCATTTGATAAAGCTCTTAAAGACATGTTAGGAATAACTATGTATCCTATAATTATAAGATGCGATAATAAATCCTCAATCAGCTGTACACAAAAGGAAGGAAATCATAAATTAAAGAACTTTGATGATTCTATTGATGAAATTATTATTAACTTAGAGAATAGAGGGAAAACAGGAATTAAAAATAAGTTATCTAAAGTACATGGAGATTATATTAAGCAGTGCGTAACTGAAAGAAAAGTTAAATTGATTTGGGTACCATCCAAAGAAAACTTAGCAGATATATTTACAAAGCCTCTTCCTTTCGATTCTTTTAGAGCTCTTAGAGATAATATATTTAATCATTAAATATGCTCGAGATAATTTTTTTTTTAATTATTTACAGGTGCGGAAACCAACGGGTCTAACTAAACTGCTCGTGATTGCGCACATATGCACACAAGGGAGGGAGTGTTAAGCTTCTTGTGCGCATGTGCGCGCACGCATACCACGCCAACTTCGCTGAGTTCAACCGCCGCGGAAACTAGCGCGGCATTCCAACAGTGAGCGCCTTTGGTGTTAGAGCTGTCGCAATAATTAGAGGATTACTATTATCATTATTATTAGAACATCATTAGAGTATAACTATTGTAATAGACTTTTAAAATAAAATAACTTTGTATTTTCTATTTTAACCTAAAGCTAGTGTTTAATTAATTCACTTCGATCCAAAATTCCGACAATCACAAAACATATACAAAAACGGATCAATAAATGCAAAAAAGGGAATAAAAATTAGATCAAACGAACACAAAAAAACATTGATTCAGATACAGTAGTAGCTACACATAGAAGAACGTCCTCACACGAATTTGACTGGAAAAAAGATATTGGTTTATGAAAAGAATTATAAGAAACAGAGAATATCCGAAATGTCACACATTGGCTTACATAAAAACACGTTAAATAGAAAAGAGGATATACAATATCTTAGTCACATTTATAAGCCTTTATTGAGATCGATGAGGAAGGGATAATGGATGAAGTGTATGTATATGGGTCGAAATACTTGATTTCTCACTTTATTGTAACTTGACTGTGCTACGAGCTATTCATTTTAGCCTATAATAATTTGACTACGAGAGAAATCAGGTATACACATATACATATAATTATATACCATTAAAATTACTTTTACAACTCTATTGTTAATAATTTGTTGTTTTTGTATTAATAAAGCCTGAAAAGGTCAGCAAATGTGCTGAGGAAACGTTGCTGAATATAATTAAAATTAAGTGAATTTCCATTTCTCACTATTTCCCTTCTTTCCATCATTACAAAATTTAGCATTTAAAAAATTATAAGGACATCAAGATAGTATGTTACGTTTAAGAAGCGAAAATTGACTATTGATGAAAGAGGTCTTTTTCCTAACTATAAAATATCAAGAAAAGGAATATTATTTGATTATGTATATCGGGATGATCCAAACGAGCTCATTGATCAATTGAGATTTTTTATCGCCGAACAAACCGCCGGTAATTCTAGTCATGTTAATGAAATTCATTCAATCATTGAAGAATTACGTGAAGCAAGCTATATATATTAAGAGAATCCTAAATATTATTCAGTAATCAAATGAGTGTCGATGTGTTTGGACGTATATTGAATAAAAAGGAGGGTTATCGAGGTCCTCCTGGTGTAGGGTATAAAATATCTAAAGACGGACAATACGACGTGGATAACAAAAGAATTTCTAATATAGCTGATCATCAGGAGAGTAATGATGCTGTAAACTTACGAACGTTGCAAAAAACTAGTGAAGCTAACGTCCCTATGCTTACGACTACAATAAATAATCTTAGAAAATCTTTAAATACAATAAGAATACAATTACGATCGTATGGAGAAGCGATTCAATATTTACTAATAGAAGTCTATGATAACTGTATTACCACTAAATTTTCATCAAAGATAGAACTACTATGAAAGTTGGGATGGGCGATCCGTGCTTCTGTTCTATATCTACCACCCCATGCACTAATTAATTTAACGTCTTTCCGCTTCCTTTCATCCTCGATAGTCTTTCCGTATACTGCATTAACCATGAGTTTATAGAATAACTTTTCAAACTCATTTTTAGCTCGTCTTCTTTTTTTCGTATTCAAATCTACATAAGTTTTAAGCCACGGCTTTTGATTAAACTGTAGTGCTCTGTTTATTTCTTTTAATTTGAGTCCGTATTTAATAGCTGCTTTAGCGCTCTATAGTGAATGACATGCGGTTCTTCATTATACAGTGTTGTTAAAAGTTTTTTTTGGGTTGATCCGGGTGGTGTGTTATGTTCAGGACAAAGAAGAAGGTCCTTCTGTTCGTCATATAGCTCTTTTGGATACTCTAGATCAACTTCTAATATATAGCCAACCTCATTATTATCGGAAACATCGAAAAAACTAGGCTTATCAATGTTAGGGACCCACTTAAAGTTTTTATACCGTAATGATTGCGTCATCGCCCATCCATATAAATTGTTAACATCAAAGTACATCAAAGTCTTGCTTAGTTCTTTTTCATTGTATTCTGAGTCCATATATCGATTATTAGATTTTGAATATCTATTACTAATACTTCCTCGAATACCTTTTTGGATGAATAAAATCATGTCTAAATCAGTTAAAAGTTCTAGCTCAATATTTGTACACTTTAACATAGCATCTCATATTAATCCAGGAGTAATATAATAGTGTGCTAGGTCGAGTTGATACGCATCCATACAAGTTTCACGAAAATTCTTAAAAATATCGGCGAAGAGTAATACGTCAGTTTTTAAGTATAGATCAGAATACTGTCCTAAATCAATGATGTCAAAAGCATTCCCCACTTTTTGTGCATGCTCATAGTCAGCTTCAGAGATATTGCTATCTATCAATTAACTATGAAAATCTTCAATAGGTGGTAGTTGAGTCTGTTTTAATCTTTCAAAACTGTTAACATACTCATATGGAAAAACGCCTTTTCTCTTCCACAATTCTATTTGTGTTTTGTATATTCATCTTTCTTGAATTCATGCTCTACGATGTTTAGTTTGGTTAAGTATGAAGACAGTTTTTCGAGAGATGATGGCATAAAACGAAACGAATCAATAAATCGAAAATTAATAGTACTACCGTCTATGTGTTTTGTGAAAGCTATATATTTTTCCTTGTTTTCAGCTAGAATAGTCACAATTCCTTTAAGATCAGAGCCAGTAGCTATTTTTTTTATAATAAAATGAGAATCACATCTAGTAAGGTTATGGAAGATGACTGCTATAAAATAAGATTCTTATAATTTAAATTGCAGGTTGCGTGTGCGGCATCTCTAAATCGACCCGTCAAATGGCAATGATCTCTAACTCTTGTTTCATTACGTTCATCGACGTACTACTACTACTACTAGTAGTGGCTGTCACTGCTAAGAAAGCTAGTGAAGCGGGCTTTTCCAGCCGAGCACGGATTTTAAGCACTATGGTGGCGCTGACAACAGTGGTTTCAGCGGTGTAGGCTGAAGAGGGGGTAGTCTTACGAAAGAGTGGGGTAAAGATTTTATTTAATTTGAAATTTAAATAAATCGTAACAAATGCTAGAAAGAGAGAAGCACCTACACTATTAGGAATGCACCTAGCCAACTTATAGCTTAGTCAACGTACCTGAAGCTAGAAATCCTACGAGAGCGAGAGAGAGAGAGAGAGAGAGAACATCCACACTATAAGGAGTACGCACCTAGCAAACTAGAAATGCTACCCCGTCTCCAAGGGTCTACACTTAGCCAGCATAAGGTTACTAAGCGCCCTACTATCGAAGGAGAGCGAGAGAAAGGGATAGAATAAGAGAGAGAGCAGCATATAGTTTACCAACCACCCTACCAACTTCTACAGCATCCTACCTTAACAACCTCTGTAGGTGGGTGGGTGAGTGGATGGGGGGGGGGGCACTCTGTTGAAGGGCCCACTGGCAGACAAACATGTGTCAAATTATCTCGAAAACTCAACACCTTCATCGGGCGGTCTCTTTCTATCCCTGGACATACACATATCCTTTATGCATTGGCGACACATCTTCAATGGAAAAGATATATCCATTACCTTTTAGACACTCAGCGGGAGGTGTCAAAGGTACATTAAATGCGTTTTAGACACGCAGCATGCGGTCTCACCTTATCGCGATAACACAGAAAGATGTCGTGGTAGTGTGATACCGCAACACCTTGATTGGATGGCCTCTATATGTCCCAGGACATACACATATCCCTTATACATCATTTGTCGGCTTCTTTGTGTCCCAGAACATACATTGCTTATCTACTAAGTTGATACATGTAATTTTGACAAAATAAAAATTGTTAAATTACAGTTTTGACTTGCTTGCAACTACAAAATAATTTACTAAATAGTCATTAAATTTTTTCTGTATATTAATGGCCTTCTATTCTCATATAACTTTGCTTACATAAGCATATATAAAAGTCAAACTATAAAAATTTAATTTTAAAAAATTTCTCTGAAAAGTCGATAGAACGACCCTCTTAAGTATATGTCTGCACCTACCGGTATATGTAAATATTATTTTGACAATATTGTAGCGCGGTACTTGCATCGTAACGAATTTCGGTCTCATACCTAAATCAACACTCATTCTTTAAACAATAGAGATATATTACGCTTTGAACATTGTCGTTTCCGTATCTTCTGTCTCCCTTGCCATCTCTCTTATTTTTCTTGTCTATTCTACGTTCCCTTTATTTCTTTACATATTTTACTTACATTTAAATTACTATACTCAATTATCAGATTAGCTACCTGCTGGTGGCAGTTCGTTTTCATGCAGATGTTATTAAGTCAATATTAAGTAACGCCATTAATAGAAAACAATTTTTTCGTAGGTATGGTTCCAAAACAGACGAGCCAAGTGGCGCAAACAGGAAAAGCAGTGTAAAAGTAATCCTCATCTTGCAGTAGATTGTCAAACTATGCAACAGCAGCAACATCAACATTCTCAGACAGACCATCTGCTATTAGAATCATCACTTGCAAGTCCGTCATCTGTATATCTTGGCATGGAATGGACAGGCTTCTCACCATTTAGTAGTGGAACGTCTTCTCTCGTAATCAGCGGTGTAAATAAATTATCGGAAAATGATGACAATACTTTATTAGATCCAGATTTATTACAGCTGAAAACATCGCGATCTTAGTGTGATCATTGCATTTCACTTTTGCATTGCTATAAATTACAATATTATTTTATTAGGTTAACCATCGTTATAATACTAAATCATTTATTATATCTATTTATTTTTTATATAAAAAGTGAATAGATTCGTTCCATTTTTTTTCTACTGCTTAGCTATGAAAGAACAATCATTCTGATGCAAGTATTCTACAATTGTTTTATTATACTTGAAGGTATAGACTATGCGAAAATTGTCTAAAATTATAATAATTAACACAATCATGGGTCTGAATATGGCCAATGAAATTTACACAGTTAATCCTAAAATGATAGTTTTTATTAGGCAGTAAGATTTGCTTATATTGTTAACTGTATTATTATAAACAAGATTCCTTAGATAAATGCGTTTTATGTGCATTGTACTGGCAATGTCGGCTTTTATCATGTTTCTATCATATGTTTCTATCATATATAGAGAATACCTATACTGTGGGAGAAAAAATTTGAATTTTTACGAAAATAATATAAAAAGAAAGAGTAAGAGATCAAAAGAAGGATTTTTTGAAATAATAATAAACAAATTGATTCTTGAAAGAGAATATAAATCTAAATAAGGGAAAAACTATGTTAACTGCATTTTTGGAGAGTTTCTTTAAGAGAAAGAAGAATCATGAATAACAGGCCGACAAAATTTCAAAATTGAAGAAACTCAGAAACATGATAACATTTACGAAGGTATTCGATGCGCTGAATCCGAATCTAGCATCGGAATTGATCTATCTTATAAGATTTTTGAGATATCTTAATCTAAAAGTACGAAAATCATTTTACTTTGTTCAAGATCATGTAACATTGTGTATAATTTTTTTATAACCAGTAATATCATCACAAAGCAACACTTTTCAAACCCCATTTTTTTTAAATTATAGTGATCTTTTTATTTATCGATATACCATTTATGGAAGTTGAATACTTCAGTAGTATTGCAACACAACATTGAAAAATCGTTCAATACTTATGTATCTAGGATACTCCATAATCTTTAACCCCTTTCAATCTGTAACGGAATAACCACAAACCCTTCAACACCAATTGCTTTTAACTCCTGTAACCTGTGACTACTGTTTGATGCAAGTGACCAGTGAGGGCGCTTTCTCGAGAAGGAAAAGGGACGAGAAGGGGGGGGAAACCCCACTACGCCGCGCCCGCCACCTTTTGGCCGCGTCTACCTTTGTTAGTAGTCCTTTGTGTCTCTACCTAAGCGCTTGTACAAATGTCGGTCATGCCCAAGTTGCAAACTCCCCTGTAAGATTTCGCTCAAGAAGAAGAAATAAAGTGCCATTTCGATCAACCTGTCTTCTCATTTCACTACCAGCAAACAACTATAGTATAACTCCAGACCCCCCATCTTCAGTTGCCTTAAACCAACTTCTGTAACCTATAATTATAATATTGTTGCGAAACTGCTAAAATACTTAACAATAATCGATGATATTTTGCTGAAAAAAAAGATGTCTCTAATCAGAAAAATTCATATTAATAGGCAAAAGTGCTGTTTTGTTATAGTTCTACTTGGTTTTGAAAAAAAAATTATTTACAGTGTTGTATAATTTTGAATATAGCAAAATATTATGTTTTTTGCACTTTTAGTTAGGATATTTCTAGATCCTGACCCGATGTATCAATTCTGAGGCCAATTTCCGATCCCGTGCATCGAATACCTTCGGAATAGTACATTACGATACAAATGCGGGAAAGTAGATTCTCATCACGTGTGGCATTTACGCCCGAGCGAAGCGAGGGTGGAAAGGTACACGGGACGAAAAACTTTTTCCCGAACATGTGCTGTACCGTATTTTTTTTTACGACTTATGGAAAGTGCAATTTTCAACGCACGTTTTCTGCCGAGCGTGCGGGAAAGGCGCACTTTGCGCACGGAGTATCGAAAATATACTATCGTGATTCTTGACTTTTTTAGATATTGGCCTGTCTAATTTTTTGATAGTTTGTAAACTATATACTAGGCGAATTTGAGATTATGATGATCAGCTTATTATCAGAAGTAAGTTTCGAACTTTCTTGAAACTTGGTCTAAATGATGCCTATATGGTAGGTTACCTCAGTATGGATTATTATATCATTATAATAATTATATTAAAAGTTATAAATAATTGAAGATTTTTGACGAAAAATTTTCAAAAATTTATATCTCCGTAACTATTTAAGTTAGCAAAACGAATTTTGATTTGAATTACACGTGAAGGTGTACTTTGAAGATATTAAGCGAACAGTACTTTAGTATTTCCAAAACTTATTATCATTTGTTTTAAACGAATGGCCATATCTCAAAAAATGCTATTTTCATCTCAAAAATTCTTTTTTTATGGAATTCTTTGACGTTCTTTCTTTAAAAATCCGTTTTTAAATTTATCGGGCGATCATTAGATGCGACACAGTGAGCGATAACAGTGGACGCTCACAGGCCCTACGACTGCGATGCCTACTTGACCGCGCATCGGCGCTGCCACCGAACTTACTGACTTATCCGCTTCCTCATAATTATAACTACAAAGAAACCTCGACTACCCGTCGAATTTCGATAAAAATTCGAGGTTAACGTGTTTCACAATCTTAATTCTCCATAATTATACCGGGTGTTCCAGACCATCCGTACAGCCATTTTAAAATCGAAAATTCGTGTTTTTGTGAAAAATGTTTCAGATGAAAGTTGTTTACGACAAAGGGGGCCATCTATCTGTATAATTAGTTTTGACTTTGAACATCGTTTTCAAGGTCATTTGAAGGTCGAATTGTTTTTTTTAAATGGGAACCCCTATTTTTTACATCGGATTCGAAAAGAGCGGGAAATTTTACGTCCACAAAGATATTTTTTAATTTTTTTTCATGGCCTTGAGAAGGTCAACTTAAGGTCAAATGCTTGAAAAACTAAACTAAACTATTCTTGCTCGATCTGATAGTACGACTAGACGATTTCAGCTTTGCAATGTGAATTGGTTACTGCCACTAATACATTATCTGGACAGATAAGTTCAATACATTTGGCCATAGCAGAGCAGACCATTCGTGTTGATGATTTGGAGGGCAGACTTATTTCAATTAAGTCTGATATTAGTAATCTTCTTTCGCGAATCGATGATGATACTTTTGCAGAGCTCAACGACCAGTGAAGGAGAGAGCGCAATTGTATAATCTACAATTTTTTGAAGCGTTCCTTGATTTGGCATCACTTCTCGTGGGAGTGGAATTTGATACAGCTAAAATAACTATGCTCCGTATTGGCAAGCGGACTGGTGATAGTATTAGACCATTGATAGTCATTTTGCGTTCTCATGATGATGCTTACTGGATTTTTAGACATGCGTCGAGTTTATTTGAGGATTTTCTGGCGGTTAAATTTAGTCTTGATAAGTCGGCGAAGCAGCTGATGCGTGATACTATCACGGAGCTGAATGTTCGTTCTCAGGCTGGTGAAACGTCGCTTAAAATCAAGCATATTAATGGCATACCGAAGATAGTGTCTTCAAAAATCGTTTAAATGCAGTCAATTCACCTTTCAATATATCTGTTTACTAACAAAATATTTGCAGTATTAAGTCTAAAATTTCTTTATTTATTCGTAATATTCCAACTAACACTCATAAATTCAACATAATTATATTGACAGAATCATGGCTTGATGGTACAGTTGATGATAAGGATTTGCAGATTCCTGGGTACACCTTTGTTAGGAGTGATCGATCCTCGATTATGACACGTAAAACTAGAGGCGAAGATATGCTGATTTGGATAGAAAGCACATACATACAATACTATACATATTTGTAACTATAATTTGCAGTATATGACTCTCAAGATTGACCTTGGATCTACTTTTCTTCTTTCTGTTGCTTATTTGCCACCGATATCGTCTCTGTCTCCTACTATTTTCTCATCTTCTCTGGATGACTACTGTGAAACCTTGCAAGACCTCTCACAGCTATATTGTACAGCACCGTTACTTGTAATAGGTGACTTCAACCTTCCATATTGTAAATGGTCCGGGATTGATGGTCTCCTTCACATTGATGGTACAGTCGCAAGTTCTGCAATACGTTTATCGGCGTGTCGTCTTGAGAGCTGTATGAATTCTCTTCAGTTTTCTCAAGTGGCGCTGTCAGCTAATAGTTCTGATAATAGCATAGCTCTGGCATTTTGCAACTATAAGGCTTTGTCTTGTTCACCGCTGGATCTACTAGCACGCTCCGAGAGATTTCATAGGCTACATATAGTTGACATTCAGCATTTTATTGCTCTATCGTTCTCTACTTTATTATACAGCTATCCTATTTCATTCAACATTAAAAAAACTATCAGGTCATAAATAGTACATTGTTTAACTTAGATTGGAATTTAGTATTCAGCGATCGGTCATCCATCGACGTAGTTGTAAAGAATTTTTAAAATAAAATTTTTCGAAATAATCAGCTGCAATACGCCGATGGTCAAGTCATTTTCTCCCTCTTTTCCGTCATAGATATCAAGTGAATTGAGAGACACTATTTTTGAGAAGAAAAAGAATCACCTTGAATTCAAGACAACAGGATGTGGTCAGTCTTTGACAGAATTTAGATCGGTTAGAGCGACTTGTAAGCGGTTGACTTCATGTGATCATAAACTGTATTAATATAAAGTCAATGGAGTAGTTTTTATTGTCTGACCTAGGTATATTTTGGAAATTTCCAGTCAAAAAAGTGGTCGTAGCCATTTTCCAGATACCATGTTTTTAAATAATTACACAGCTAGCAATGGTCAGGATTTAGCTAACCTATTTGCTAGGCGCTTATCTTCCGTATATAATGTCACTTCTAGCTTTAATGACTTCTCCGATGTGGCGTATGATAGCTTCTCGCTCTCTCGTCTGATTTTTACCATTGATGAGGTTAAGCAGGGGCTGTCTTAAATTATACCTTTGTTTAGTCCTGATCTAGATGGTGTCCCTTCTGCATTCATTGTAAACTGCTTAGATAATCTGTTGGAACCAATATTTTTTATATTTAACCTATCCCTTCGTACGGACATCTTTTCCTCTTGTTGGAAGCAA